ATGTCATGCCATTTCTTGGTGATGGAATTATTTTGTCTGCAAAAGAGCTGACAAATAGTGACTCCACTGCATGTTTTTTAGTGATAGAGCTGTAGTGATACAACCATCTCGGTAAAATCTGTGAAGTATAGACAAAACCTGAGAGCACAGGAGTAACATTAAATTTTCCCTGGGTTTCCTCCGAGCCTGCCTGAAAATGATATGGAATTTTAATCTATTCTCCCAGGCCTCTGCTCCTGCAGAAGAAGGTGATTTACCATTATACCAAGCAGACTTTTTCCTGGAAGAGTAAATCAGGGTCAGGTGTGAAATTGGGCCTTACTTGACTTTGCATAGTCAGTGTTGCTCCAGAAGGTGGTGGCTTGGCTGACAGAACAAATGATTGGTTAGATATAACCTGGTTTGACCTACTATACCTTACTGTATCAAAAGCATTGAATTAGACCCAAATTGGAAATGTCAGTACAGTATACCGTGTTTATTGCTATCTTTTTTTCTAGCCATTTTCTTCCCTTAATGTTAGTTAAACTTTCCTCATATATATATAAATGAGAACAATTCTTTTTCTTCAGGGAAGAAGCTTGCTTGCACAGTTGCCTACCCTGCATTTTTTCCCCTTGAAATCTGGCTGTAAGAACTCACTCATGTTCTGTACTGCTGCTCCTAAAACAGTGAAAGAGAATAGAAGATTCTGCTTCCAGCCTTATGCTTTGTAGTAATCAAGAACATGCTCTGGTCACTCCTTTATTTATTTTTATATATGTAATATGTGCAGCATGTGACCTACTGACTTGCGTGGCTCTTGATAGAGTGCCCAGCTCAGGACTGACTGACAAAAACAGGGCAGACACCCCAAGTTGCTGGGGTAGTCTGTTAGATTCTACCAAATGTGACTGCCCAGCTCACTGTATTCAGTCTTTTAATATGGCTAGCCTCAGATGCTCAAATCACAGATCTGTAAATACAATAGACTGAGTGTTATTTTTATTTACCTTCTGCTGTGTGTGTCTCTTTAGAGTGCACAGGTGTCACATTTTGAAGCTTTGTCATCAGCCACCAGGACTAGAAACTTATTTTCTTCAAGAACAAAGGCTGAAGTCATCACGTAACCACTTGACTCTGGGTGCTGATGAAGCTTTAAGGAAAACAGTCATGAGAGTGACAGCTGTCCAAGATTCAGCACCACATTTGGCCTGCTGGGCATATCATTATCCTCCCTGGCCCAGGCTCATTACTGATGGAGAGTGAAATGTGAACACTGATCTGTACCCCCCAAATCAGTACTCTTGACCTTGCACCTGTACACCTCTTTAAAAAAGTTTTTCACTAAGGAAAAGGAGTGAGTTATTTGCAGGTTATAACAAGCAAACACACTCACAAGTAGGTTAACTCCTGCGAGTGCCTGAGATGTCAGTTCAAAACGTCTGTCAGAGCTGACCAAGAGGCAGCACTTGTGGATCTCCAGCTTCTGTTCAAACAGTCAAAATTATGTGAAATTTTCCTGAGACAGAATTTATGGTGTGAGGCTACAGGACCTTAGGTTAAAATTTGCTTTAAAACTATTTCATTAGCATGTGGCTAAAGATTATAAAGTCAAGTTTCTGAAAAAATAGTTTTCCCCCATCCCCAATGTTGCCTTCA